GGGAGCTTTTAACTTTTAACACTACTGAGTCATCTTAATGTATTTCCTGTTACTTTTGGGCGCAGTGATCACTACCGTAGACCTACACTAACTGGCGCATGCGTGCTGGATCCCCCCCCCACACACACACACACACACAATGCAAGCAGTAGGAGAGCCTTTGGGCACAGGGTATAACACCCGCGAAGACATGCGCAGAAGACTGGCAGGGCAGAGTCTCAGATCAGGTCTGGACAGAACCGGAAATTTTCCACAGTTCACCGTCCTTGGTAGTTGTAGAGCAGCTGAGTTCACCTCGCGGAGTTTTGTTAGAAGGAAAATGACGGAATGTGGCATCAGACACTTAAAAACAATTACCTGCATGTTAAAAAGTGGATTATTTTTACTATACCATGGATTATGACAACCTTAAACCAGCAAAGGTAGGACTGAGTTATGTTGAATTTGCATATATTGGTGAATATTAAGCACGTTTTTGGAACAATTTCGCTGTTACCGACTGTCGGTGTGATGCATTAGAATGGTGCTTTGGCGTTCCCTGGTGGTGATATGTGGATATCGCACCTGAGACGTTCCAACCGCATATTTGAGATGTAATTATTAGAATTATGAGCGATGATGCTATTTTTAAATACATTCATAACGTGAACACCTTTCTAATCCATGTTTCTCCTGAAAACCTTTTGTTTTTGACTAAAAATATGATGAAACAATGATGAAATATTTACGCTGTTGTCCAGTTTTATTTAAACACATTAGAGACTAATATTTAGTGAGTATTTTTATATATTTTTTTCTGCCTGCATGAACTATTTTGCTGTTGGTTTGAAAAAACAGGAATGTGACTCGAAATGACAAATATTTTAAAGATTTATATATATCTAATATTTTTCTAATGAACAATAATTTATTTTATTTATCTGCCCATAAACCATCATTTTGTAAGGAAGCAAATGGATAAGAAACATGTTACCAGTACAAACTTATTTCAAAACCTCGTAATTCATATGCACATTCCAGGTCACACAATTCTCGGCTGGCATGCTCTTTTCCACACACCTGGTACATTGCGCCCCCCCCCCCCCCAAAACAAATATTCACCAGCTGCCACTGGTCTCTGCACTGCTCTACGTGGTCAAGCTCCTCCCTACTGAACTGGTAAAGCCTTATGCTCCAACCCGAGCCCTCAGGTCCACACACCAGAACCTTCTAGAAGTTCCAAAGACCAGATATAAAAGTCGAGGTGATGCTCCTTCCAGACTATTGCACCCCGACTCTGGAATGATCTTCCTTTATCCTTATGTAGCATTGACAGATTGGACACTTTTAAAAAACAGCTAAAGGCCCTTTTATTTGAAGCTGCTTTTACCAAAACCTTTTATTTTCCTCTTTTTTACTCCAATTTGTAATTATTTTTCATTTGTTTTATGATATTTTATCATTTTATGACTTTATATTTCTGATTTCAATTGATTTTATGACTTTATGATTTGTTTTGATCTGTGTGAAGCACTTGCTCTCTGTGATGAGTACTCTATAAATAAATTTACTGCACTTACTTTACAGCTTCTCTGTGTTTTCATGTCTTCCAGTTCCTACATCTTACGTAAACAGGACGGGTTTTGGGCTGCACAATATTAGGAAAACCTGCGATATTCGATAACAGTGCTTAATATTGCAATATCGATATTACTTGCGATAAATGAACAAATACTAAAGTATGCAGTGTTGATGTCGTCTGGCGTGTGACAACTGCTCTGGGTTCAAAGCAAACAAAAACTAATGCATGAATTCCATAACAACATAACATTTTTATTGCAAAAATATGCAGCTGCACCTGCTACTGTATTAGCAGCAAAACAACAAACTGCATGCATGCAGTTTCTCAGTGACTTTAAAACATCACCTCCACCATAAAACTTTTTCTGATGCTCCAAATACAGAAAAACATCCCTTACCAGGGTTTTTGAATAAATTTTAAAAATCAGAAAATAAGTTTACATGTTAAATAATAGTTAATGGGGCGACGGTGGCACAGGACTTAAGAGCTCGCCCCGTAATCAGAAGGTTGCAGGTTCGAGCCCTGCTCAGTCTGTCGCTGTCGTTGTGTCCTTGGGCAAGACACTTAACCCACGTTGCCTGCTGGTGGTGGTCGGAGGGACCGGTGGCGCCAGTGCTCGGCAGCCTCGCCTCTGTCAGTGCGCCCCAGGGCAGCTGTGGCTACATTGTAGCTCATCCCCACCAGTGTGTGAATGTGTGTGTGAATGGGTGAATGACTGATTGTGTTGTAAAGCGCCTTGGGGGGTTTCAAGAACTCTAGAAGGCGCTATATCAAATACAGGCCATTTACCATTTACCATTTATTTAACATCACTTACATGCAACAGCAAATTCTCTCATTGCTACTGAACATTTTCTCCACTTCTGTTGTTATGATATAAGGCTGTTGCTGTAATTGGGAAGTGAACTGTGCTGGGCCAAACTAGGAGAATATTAAGATTTTCCGAGGGAAAGAGAAAAACTATTGTCTACCTTTCAGAAGAGGAAGTGGCAAAAAACTACATGGAAAATATGTGAAAACATTTGTTTTTAACCCCAAATTGAACAAGTCTACCTAGATCTTAAAAAGCAGCTGAGATGATGAAACTGCAACTATGATTCTGATAACAAGCTAACAAATTGACCTAGCTCCTCTTAAGATAACCGGCTAGCAGAGCTTCTGACTGACAGTTTATGTGCAGCAGCAAATCGACTATCCTGATTAACAAGGTTATAAAAGCTCATAAATGAAAAATCACTTTGATGTGTGGGGGAACTTTTCCAGGCCCTCTTTAGCAGGGTGGGACTGGGAGGAGAGTGCTGTAGCCTTTTAGCTTGAAGCTAACCGGAGCCTGGGGCTAACATCACCACCTGGTGGAACACTAGCGACATGGAGGTGGGTTGGTTCACTGGCACGTGTCGGAGTCAGTCCGGTTATTATCAGCTGCTTAACGACACCGAGCAGACTCACGTTCACGTTTGAAAGCAGCGCTGATTCCAGAAACCTCAGCACAAAGTGCGTTCGTTGCTCTGAGCCTGCATGACGAACAAGGGAACGGCACCGCTAATGTTTGGTTGTTGCTTTCCATCCTAAAGGTCTACGTAGGGGGCGGGCGTATTACGTGAACAGACCCATCTGATTGGCCGCATATCAGAAGGGCTACATTTGATTGGTCAAATAATACTTTCGTGTAAAAAACAGAGCTGGTTGAATCAAACATTTATCGCCGTTTTTGACGTACTTTGCGATGGGTCTATCGCCCGTGCCCGTTATCCCGATGGCGATCATTTTTCGATATATTGTGCAGCTCTAATTTAGCTTTTTTGTTTTTGTTTGCTGTTTTCTTGTTTTTGCATCTGTTAGCATTGCCTTAAAGGATTCAGAACAGGAATAATCACACAACATGCTTTAGATCACCTGGTGTGCGGAAAGCAAAAGTACGGTAGGATGTGTGTTGCTCCAAACAAATGCTCTGTACATTTCCCATGATTCGGAACATGTTCACATAAAGCCTGACCTCGCTATATCAGATGTTTTGCTAGTAGTTGAGAGTAGATACTGGACATGAAACACTCGTGCTCTGCTTCAGCAAAATAGGTTTTTCAGGAAAGGGAGTGTATAGTTGGAAGTACCATCAGAAATCAAAACTGATTCACGTGTCCATCTCCACAAATGTGTGTACTAAAAACAAATCTAACAATTTAAACATATAAAATGACTAATTATCACTCTGCAGTCGATTCATGAGTGGAAATAAAAGTCACTGTCACTGAGTAACTATGTTACTGAGTCACTGGCCAGGCTGTAGTAGTGTTGTAGCTGCACCTGTGACTGCAGACAGAAGTCCTGCTTGGTGCGGTCTCCAGATTACTGTGGTACACATTAAACATTCCACTTTATTCAGGGACTCATGCATATTCACTTGCAATGTCATAAAACGTCGCAGAAACATGAAGATTTACAAAAAGCACCACCAATCCTTCCTGACACCCACGTTTAAGCACTCCATTATTCCACCTTACATTTTTTGCACAGCAACTGTTTTTTGAGATTAACATTTTATAGGAAGTAGGCATTTTCTCCCAAACACGTGTGTGTGTGTGTGTGTGTGTGTGTGTGTGTGTGTGTGTGTGTGTGCATCTCACGTAGATGTTGTTACCATAGCAACAAGCCTGGAGCACAGGTAATCAAACAGCTGATTTTGCAGACCTTTTTAAAACAACAGCACCCTACTTGCCTGCTGGTCCTCCTCAGGCTCAGGCACTTCTCATGTTTTTGGTCCATTTAAAGGGGCATTATGGAAGTGTGACAGCCAAAACATGTATAGAATTAATAAATGTCTTCTTCATACATTCTCCTGCAATGCCCTGGTCCTGTAGAATGAGCCCTGGCATTTTTACTGTGATTGCCTGTTTTTCTGTAAAATCACAGAAAAAGAGAGATGCTCGGGTCGAGCAGGCTGCTTCATGCGCGTTCACGCTCAGGCATAGCCCGTAGCATTTGCTATCCGTAGCTTTAGCAGCAGAGAGAGAGGTAGTGCCAAGTCAGCGACATCCGTTGGTAAGGTCTTACTCCAACACAAACATACTGCTTTATTGCAATGATTTATATAACCATAAATAATACACACTGTCACTTTAAGTAGAATTACTGACATAAATGAACTTTCTGTCTGTCATCTGTCTATTCCACTTTTTTTCAGAACTTGGGAGCCAGTGTCTTGTTTTATACTTCTGTCTGGCGATGAAACTTCAGGATGTTGGTAGCAGCAGGTTACAGAAGCTGAGGACTTGAATATGGATCAACTTAAAGCCGGGACCACAAGGCTGAGGAACAGCTTCCTCCAAGAGGCTCGTGAACTCTGACCTGAAGTTTTACTTGAACTCATTCGCTGCCATTGACGACTAAAGTCGTCATTTGCATCGTTTTACTGTGTGGGCATTGGAACGAGTGCCCGTACCGTGAGAAAAAACATCCCAGCTCTAAAGCCGATCTTCATCTGCATACGTCACACGCCACGTGACCAGGAAGCAGAAAATCCATGTGTTAGGAGATCGTTTTGGGCCGCTGCAGTAAAAAAAAAAAAAAGTGAGGCGCGAACCGGAAAAAATTCTGCCGATCACAATTCAACAAAAAGGATTATGAAATAAGGGATAGCGCTCGAAATGTGCTGACTTACCCTTTCTTTTGGCAGTTTTGGTGTTGACATCATAGAGCGCAACGTTCTGTGATGCATTAAAAAAACAGTGAAAACGCTGAAAACGCTGGTAGCAAAGGGTGAACAGAAAATGGCTGGCAGTGGATGAGTGAAACTTTAATGATGACTTTAGGCTATTTATTTATTTAGGCTGGCCGTTTGTTCTCCCAAGTCTGCAACATGCTGTTGAATGACAATGAATGAATCTCACCCTAAATCGTTTTTTGCTGTCACAGAAGAATAAAAACCCCATCGTAATCATGCCGTGGACTAATCAGGTTGTTACTGAACTGTAGGATGGATCAAAGGATGGATAACGTGGACATTTTGCTTAAACATGCAGGTGTAGCTCAGCGAGTGCATTAGATTAATGAATGAATGAAATCTTTATTTCAAACATAAGAAGAAAAATAACAATAATAAGAATGCCATTGTAGACATTAAAAATAAAGTCACGCTAATATTCACACAAAATTTTAATTATCATATTCTGTTCGAAAAGGAGTAGGAGGAAGCTGGTGCTTATTAAATCCTACCTTGACGCATAAAACATAATACAGTGAACTAATGTAAAATATATATATATATAAATATATATATATGTGTGTCTATGAATGTGTGTGTGTGTGTGTGTGTGTGTGTGTGTGTGTGTGCATGCATACTAGGGATGTGAATCTCAGAGCAATTCACGATTTGATTCGATTCCGATTCTTGGGGTGCCGATTCGATTCAGAGTAGATTCTCGATTTAAATCGATTCACAATCAGCATTAACAAAGAGTGTCAGTTCTAGGATGAACTACTTTGTTGTGCAAGTTAGTTAAAGGTATGGGTCATTTTTACTTGACTTTAAACGGGTCATGCTAAAAAAATGCTAATTTACAAGGTAAAATAAAGTTATTCTAAAACTGTAAACAGAAACAATCTTTTGACCAAAAGGCAACATTTATTTTTGCTTACCTTGTAAAATATAACAAATCTGTAGTTACCCAACAGTAGCTTTGAAAGTAATGTGGTCAAATACTTTAAGTATCTGTGGAAACAAGTTTAACATTTGAGTCCTCAACCTGTTTAAAAAAGTGCCTCAGATTTCTTACAAAGGAAAATGTGTTCTCTCATTTATCAATAACTTCAAATAAACATGAGTAATCCTGAGTACTCACTTATCAACTTACAAAATAAATATGAGAATATCTCAAATTTCTGAGTATGGAAAAAAATTACATTCTAGTCCGCACTTGTCAGCAGATTCAAAAATAAATCATCCCAATTTATGGGACCACAAACGTAAACAGAGTACTGACTCTCCTAACAAAGACAAAAAAAACAAACATACAAAAGTACATCTCAAACCTGTACCGTACCAAACATTTGAGTTCCTGGAATCGATTCTGAACCTTTATAAATAAGAATCCCGATTCAGACTTGAATCGATTTTTTTCAGCACCTCTAGTGCGTACATGTAAATTGGCTGTAAAGTCCATTTTTAAGTGTTTCTCCAAATCTCCACACAATCATTTAAGTACGATGAGACCATTGAATCATAAAGTATCTTTAGGGATTCATGGTTTAACACATGACTTTTTTTTGCTAACTCTTTGCTATTTTTGCTTTGATATGTTTAATGTGAGGCTTCCAACAGATTTTATGATCCAACATAACACCCAGATATTTGTATTCATATACTCATTCAATGCATATATCACCTACCATTACTTGTACTGGATCCATTATTTTTCATTTTCCAAACCATATAATCTTTGTTTTACTTAACTTTATCGACAATTTATTCATATCTAACCACTGTTTTGAATGACTAAGTTATGATGTTATTGTCCCTACAAACTCCTGTAAACTCTCCCCAGAGCAAAAGATGCTGGTATCATCTGCAAATAAAATAAATGTATACATTTTTTGAAACTTTACATAAATCATTTATGTATAGAATGAATATTTCGGGACCCAGAACTGACCCTTGTGGAACACCGCACTTTATGTAAGTGGATTTATATTCACCCATTTGTACAAACTGCTGTCTGTTCTCTAAGTAACTCATAATCCAGTTCAGTCCAGCACCTCATATGCCGTATTGTTCCAGTTTTGTGAATAATAGCTTATGATCAATTGTATCAAATGCTTTCTTTAGGTATGTGAAAATTCCTGCTGCATATATTTTATTGTCTATAGCGTTTGGGATGTTATCAACCAATTCCAGTAATGCGAGACATGTTGATCTTTCATTTCTAAAACCACACACTGACTATCCAGAAACAATTTGTGTCTCTCAATGAATTCATCCAATTTGTTTGTAAAGAGTTTTTCCAGAATCTTAGAAAACTGACATAACAAAGAGACTGGTCTGTCGTTAGTAAAATGATGTCTGTCGCCTGTTTTAAAAAGGGCTTTTACTTTAGCTATTTTCATGTTATTTGTCATTAAGATGTTTTCAAATGTTGTAATAAATCATAACTACATCATTGCTTTTCTACATTCCTGCAGTGGGTTTCTCGTGCAGCTGTGCTGAAGGTGGTTAAATCTGTTGACGGTACTTAAGCAGATGAAACCCTGAATGGAAACGATGAGCAGAAGCAACAGTAACTAAGAGAAACAAGATTTAGCTGATCACTTATTTATACAACAAATCAATTATTCAATAATGAAAACTACAGCAGAACACACGAGCTATCTCTTCGTCTCTCACAGCACCACTGTGGACTTCCTGCTCAGCGTGCAAATGGAAGTATCCATCGAAATGTCGTTGTAAATGAATTAAACTATTGAATTAAAAAGAAAATGTTGTGAGTTGCACATGCAGCAGAATATACCCGCGTGTCGCATTTGCTGCTGTCCGACTACGTGCCTGCAGACATTCTGCTTCCGAGCAGTGTGTGTGGTTTCACATCTGCTGCAGGAGGCTGTGCTGCTCTTCTGAGACGGTGGTATCTCACCCCCTCCAGGCATGAGTGTCGGTGTTGGACTGGATCAACACGTCTCGGTTCGGCCAAGACAGCTGCTGCTGCCTCTAATGACTGCTGCTTTTTCTCCTGAGATCTGGAGAAACACACACGCTCGTGGGCACATGCTCCCTGCTTTCTTTTGTTTACTCCTCGCTCACTGCACTTCTAACTTATCAGACTTATCTGATGTTTTGTAAGAAGCGAGACACGGGGAGATTTCTGAAGAGATTTTGAGCCCCTGCAGCTAATGCCTAAATGTACTTTTACTACTACAACCAAATAAAACGCCTTTATTTGGATGGAAAGTGATCTAGGAGCAAAAGAAATGTTAAAGTTGCGACTCCTGGTTTATTAAGGTCACCATGGTAACCACACACATTTCACTTAGTAAGAAGAAGACAAGAAGAGATGCTAGTCAGAATCATGAAGGTAAGTGAAGCTAAACAAACTTTGATGGCAATAGATTGGCACCCGGTACTCAGACTCTTCCATGGGAGTCTTGAGTCCATCAGTGGCTGAATGAACTCAACAGAAACGTGCACATTTGGTTGGTATGTATGTGTGTGTGTTAGTCACCTGTGAGACAGGATAACAGATGAGGTGTCGCTGGAGAACTCCATGTGATTAACCAGACTGTGATAGGGACGAGCATGTGACTCAGTCCTGGCTGAGTGAAATAGTGCATAACTACATCCTCCTTAATAATGGATCCATCTTGATAATGACTCAATCAAGCTCAGTCTGGTCTCTTATCTCTCCGAGGGAATCTGGAGAGACCCGATGCTACTGCTGCCACCGCCGATACCGCACAGCTCATTTATATTTCAGAGGGGCTCTGCTGAGAGGCAAGGAGAGAGATGGTGTGTGTGTGTGTGTGTGTGTGTGTGTGTGTGTGTGTGTGTGTGTGTGTGTGTGTGTGTGTGTGTGTGTGTGTGTGTGTGTGTGTGTGTGTGTGTGTGTGTGTGTGTGAGAGCAGACAAAAAAGTAGGATATTGGCCATTAAAAAAGAAAGATCCTGCAATGTTGGGTAAGATTTGTGCAAAATATTTTTATGCTTTGACCAAAATGGCGAATTCTGAATTCTTTCTCAGGTTTCTCTCTGGAGGCTGACATTACGAGATGCATAAAGGCAGGTTAGTAATGTTTTACTCAGAATAAAAAAACAAACATCATACCTGCAAACGTGGAAGGTGTAAAACAGGTGAAAACTAAAATGATGTCACACACTAATTTACATATTGATGACAGTTTGGATCTGTAAGATTCACGTGACTGCATTATTGTGCTGTATGAAATGTGATCTAAAAACCTATAAATGTTTTTGTTTCTTATACAATTCAGTTTACGAAAATGTTTGAACCACACCCATGGGGGTGTCCCACAGAGGACACTGTTGAACCTTTATGATCAAACTGTTTTTTTTCCCAATGTTCTTGGCATTTTTTCCCACACAAAGTTAAACAATACAAGGTGTGTGTGTGTGTGTGTGTGTGTGTGTGTTTGTGTGTGTGTGTGTGTGTGTGTGTGTGTGTGTGTGTGTGTGTGTGTGTGTGTCAGGGACACAACTACCTATTAGCGGAGCGGTATGCGGACGTATCCAGCTGTTGTTATTTATTTGTTGTTGGTGTTTATTTAGAAATAAAATAAATCTGCAGGGCTTTAGGCCCAGGGCAGTTTTATACCAGCTTTAGATCATGACCTGTTATTAATACTATCACTTATTTTTTACACCAATCAGAAAATTCAGTAATATTCACAGACATCCAAACCTTAGAAATGAAATAAAATCAATATTAAAATTAAAAATGATTATAATTATTTTTCATTAAATATCTATGAACATGTTTATAATTGACATCCTCCATTTAAGCTTCTTTCTGGAGTATTTCTCGTATCCGAGGGCACCATCTAGTGGCTGACAAGTATATCACACAAAAAATCTGTCGCTCTGTTTTTTAAGATGGCAACTTCACGTTTCTGTTTATTTATGTGCTTCTGTAGCCGACAAACAGCGCTAAAACACGCTGTTTTACGAGTATTATTCTCATGTCATGTTGTGTTCTCATATATTTATATTTTAGAGACTTTGTTGTCCGTGAAAAGTTCATCAACTCTCCATCAGCTGAGGTATTCTTTAAATGTGAAGCAAGTGAGCGGTAGTCTAACGCTATTGTTAGTTCTGGTCGACGCTCAGTTTTCTATTGCACGGAGCTCTGCGGGGCAGGGGGCGTGCTTAGCAAAAAAAAAAAGCGTATTGCTTTCATTATATCACAGTAGAGATGAGACAATCACTTTTACGGATTTCTGACAAATCATACATCATTTCTGAAAGGGGAAAACTCCGGAAAGCAGCTTTAAGCAGACATATTTCTAGCAGAGCTGAGCTGTGGGAGAAAATATTCAGGTTTATTTAATCTTATTTTCCATCACTTGTGGGTTTAGTGCATTCACTTAATATTAATTATGAAACTATAAATAGGTCACTACAGTTTGAGCATAGAAAGTGTTTCTAGCAAAAGCTTATTGGCTGCAGCTCACCTGTTCCTTCCACACTGACAGGAAGAGATAAATGTGTAAAACAACGTTTATTACTGGTGAAAGTTTTGTAACCATTTGTTACAAATCAGTAAATGCATTTTGTCCTCACGGGCTTCTGTAGAGGGAAACATGGTATCCAATATGGCGTCACCCAGAGACTTAAACCCGCTCCCATGTACTTTAGAACAGATTTCTATGGTTATGAAACAGCCGATATTTTTAATCAACTTGACATCTTTTAATTCATTTACAACGACATTTCGATGGATACTTCCAGAGATTAACCCTCTTATGACTATAATTATAACAGGGCCGCCTGGTATTTTTTTAATCTTATGGCTATAAAATTGTAATAAAAAGTGCAAAGTGTGTGTAACTCTTCTCCTTTTTTCAGAACAACCTCGGCTTTAAGTGTATTTAGAATTTATTTCTATTACAGCCTTTAAAAAATCAGCTTAAAAGTGATAAAAGCAAAAAACGGATTTGAATTTTTTACATTTATTACTGAACAGGAACTTCTAAATTACTGGGCAAACAATTTGGAATGAACAATTTAAAGTTTGAACTGTAATGCATCTATTCTTAAAAAAAAAGTTTGAACCTTGGTATATTTTCTAGCAGTTTTTAAGACCATTTATTTTTGTAAATTTTCAAATGTTTTTATTCATTTTAGCAAATAGTTGAGGGTTGTTCAAAAAAAAATTTTAAGACTGAACAAACATTCATATCCTGGTTCACTGGAGATCTGTCCTTCTTCGTGGTCACTGTCTTCAGATATAAGCCTTCTGGGACACCTAATAGATCATGTTGATTTTCTTTGAGGCATTTCCATAATTTCATGCTGGTTTTTATGCTGATTAGCGTCCCCGTTCCGTTATCCGCTTTCACCGCGGTGCTGAGCTCCGTTTCAATCAGGCTGTACAGCAGGATTTCCCCTCGTAGCAATATTTTCCATAACTCTGATTGCTTCATGCTATAGATCGTTGGATAGCTGCTTTTATGTACCTTTAGGAACCGTTGGAATGTTCTGAATCTGTTCAGCCATTCAAAAGTTATAAAACGGAGCATTTTGGATGACAAACTCAGCACGTCTCTGAATCTGTGTTGTGATTCGTTGCGCTCAAGACAGGGAATGCCGGTGGCTACCATAATGTATTGTATAAGCACGAAAAGCCCCATTTTTAATCTTTTCAGCACCTTTGGAATTTTACAGATATCTTGAGCGGTTCAGGAATTATGGTAATGAGAATTGCGCATGTCAAATCCTGTCAGCGGCGACAGGTTGGTAATAAGAGGGTTAAAACTACACATTGCCCTTTAAGTAAATTGCTTGAGAAACGCCATGTTTTGTGTCTGTAAGGCCCTATACAAATAAAGACTGAGTTGAGTATGTAGAAGTTGGGTCATTAAAAGACTAAAAACTGGAAGTGGTGTTTTCCAATATAAAAATTTAATGGTAATATGGGCTAATTATTTAATTATAAACTGATAATATCGGACATACATCATGACCCTCTCCATGACGCTAAACATCTTCTACTATGAGGTTTATACAGTCATTTTGCTCAGGAAGACAATCCAACAGAATTCATCAGAAAAGTTGTAGACATCAACATGTAATTTTTTTTAATTATTATAAAACAACAGGAAACATCAGAAAACATATGAACACATTTTTAAATATTATACTGATCCCTGAAAAGCCTAATGTTACGGTCCTTTAAGAGACGCATTGGTCGAAGAAGGTGAAACTGAAAGTTGGAGCTAAGTAAGTAACTTAAGTTACCTCGTGTTTCTACTCCAGCTGCTGAAAGGTTTATGCTGATTATTGAAACAAATGTCTGTGTCACAGATTCAAGCACATTCTCCACAGAAGGTCTGCAGTTTGTGGTTTTCAGGAAGTTTGTTTTATTTTGGCAAGTTAAGAGAAGAAGCACGTCGGTCAATATGTCCGACGATTTTAAGTTTTTCGTTAGACAATATTAAAACACATCGATAATGTCTGGCGAACGTTAGGTTTTCTGACTGACCCTAACAGGGATTCCCATTCTCATAGACAGCAACCCTAAAACCACGATCCTGACTCAGACCCAGTGCACTTTTAGACATCATGCAAGAGTTTTCAGGTCAACTTATGCCTGGGAGGAACCTAGACCCAGGGCACCGACTCAGGTCAGTGTTTCTGCATCTGGATCTGCGGGTTTCATGGCTTAATAGTGCTGCAGGGTCATTTCATGCTGCTGCTGCTGGGTGGACATAGAACATTTACCTTAAACGGGAGGTAGAGTGAGTTGATAGCAGCTAGAAGACCGGCGGTATCTGAGTCGTCCCTCTGGCCACATATCACAATCTGAGAGAAGGGAAATACAGAAATAATAAGCATGTGAACAGAGTGAAATAAGAGTGAACGGTGGCCTGCAGGAAGAGAAAGTATGGACAGAGAGGAGCTCTGTATTGTAGAAGTGACAAGGGAAGCAGGTGTTTGCTCTGAGACTTGCTTGTTACCCTTGCCTCACTGACCCAAGTCATCCTCTGCAGGTCATGCATGACGGACAAAAATCCCACTAACACCCTGCAGGTCCTGCTGCTGTTCCTGTCTCTGCTCCTCTGATTGGACAGCCCAGGCTTTAAACTTCTCTCAGAGTGAAGGAGAAAGTTTGCTTTGCTGGTTCCGTGGTTTCAGGCCAATCTAAGAGCGTTAATATTTCAACACCGATTACATAACTCAACAGCTCACATACGCCATTAATAAATGGGGCTGCGAACATAGGAAAAAATTATTTGTAGCGTGTTCTGGGTTTAAATGAGCATCTAAATGGAGTTGTGTCCCCGAATAACCTGCTATAGTCGGAATTGAGTTGAAGAGAAGAAAAGGTAGCTCAGCACACTGAATCTACTTTTCTGACTACGAAAATGTCATTTAAAGTTTTTTTATTCGGAAAATAATTGCTTCCATTTTCATTCTGCATGCATTCCTTCCTCAAAGAGCATTTCTTTTAGACAAAAAGGAGTAAATACAGTCTACTTGGGCAAAATGTTTTAATGTTAGCAGTGGGACTGTTTGCAGCTTTCTGACAACACAAAACCAAATAGTGACTCAGAGATTAGAACAGGATTTTTACACCTTTCTTTAAGTCACATGTTAGCACGTTTTAAGAATTCTCTGAGGAAGTTCTCAAGATTTTTCAGCACCTCACCATGATAACTTGCATAAATGTGTAAATACATGTTCACCCACTGCTTTCTTTATTAGCTACTTGCTTATTGATATTTACAAGATATTAGCTTAATGCATCTATTCATCACGACGTGGTGAAGATAACCTGCTGACATTTAAACTGAGTATCAGAGGGGAGAAGAAAGGAGACTGAGTAGTAGACTCAAACAAGCAGTCTACAACATGTATGACCACATGGAACCATCTTCTGATGGTTACGTTCAGCAGGACAATGTGCCATGTCACAAAGCTCAGATCATCTCTAACTGGTTTCTAGAACAGGACCATGAGTTCACTGGACTCCCAACAGCCTCCACTGTTACCAGATCTTAGACCAGTCCAGAACATTTGGGATGTGGTGGAAGGCAGATCATCATCATCATCATGGATGTAGCTGTGTGATGATGTCACGCCAGTGTGGACCAGAACCTCTTCTGAACCCTTCCAACACCTGGTTGGATCGGTGACGTGAAGATTCAAGGCTGTTCTTAAGGGAAAAGGGGGTCCAACCTGGTATTGGTGAAGTGAACTTTGGGCGATTTTCGGTTTCTGCTGATTGGTGTGGGCAGTTATCTGATATATCGGAAATTTATGGAGCTTTCGGGGGCTATTGTAAAATTTCTTGAGCTCTGGGAAGGTTACTGGGCACTCAGACTCAGACGTTGCTGGAGATTAATTGCAAGCTGGATGCTCTGTGCAGCAATCTGGCGGATTTCCCTCAATTCGCACACAGGACGGATACCATAATGAGAATGCCAATGCATGCCACGGAGGGAACTAAACCCCATTATTTGGCTGATTGGACACTCCTGAAACCAGTTAGGCTGTATTGCAGAAGGAAACCTTATTTCTGGCCTGCTCCAAAACAATAAATGTTATCGGGGTCTGGTTCCCTGTTCGGCCTTGGCTGCAGAACTGAAAACTCCCTGAGGCGTGAATACAGACGTTCGCTATCTCCCCCCTGTCTAACCTATTCCTGACATGGAACTGTAATTCTGGGTGGAAGGTCATGGAGCCATGAAATACTCACTGCTGGCTTTGTTATCCGCGTACGGGATACTGCACGCTCTCTCTCGGTTGAACGGAACTCTCCCATGTCATGTTTGTGACTGTCCACTCTATGTGTTTCTCAAGGTTTTTCCTGAACCTCCATCACTGATTCCTGGCTTGGGAGCAGGTTGGAGGGACACATTTGTCTCCCTTATATACCTATCTCCTCCTCTTGTTGATTTTTTTTTCTAGCTTCGTTCACTCCTGCATATGGGAGCACCATAAAGGTGAATGCCCACAGCTTCGCCTGGTTCTCTTACGTGGTGTCTTGTATTGTTGTCGTATGTCAAATCTTGGATTGTTTTGAAACTGTCATCTCGTAGTACCGGGATGCTGGTTCAATGACAATAAAAGTTTCTTGATTCTTGAACCTGTGTGTGTAACTTAGTAGCAAACAAAGCAACAGCATCATTTTCTGAAGGTGAGTTTATGCCTCAAGCATTGAAGAAATAAAGAGCAAATTGCAGGTATTTTTTTTTCTATTTCATATAAAGTGCTGTCCAAAAATACTATTTCAAATGCTTATTGTGGATATTTTGTTTTAAAGTACATAATGACAAGAGTTTTCTAGTAAAAAGTGTCCTTTCTGAGCACAGCTTCTTAAAAGGCTAAATCTGAACCTCTGATGTAACCAAAGGGAGTCAGAAGCTAGGCACTGCCTCAGCGCAGTGTGGAGAGTGGCTAGTTTTAGGGTAGAGGTCGTGTTATCGAGTCAGTGTGTGTGTTTACTAGTTATGGGTTGTGTTCATGTTGATAAACTGGAGTGTGTGAAGGCTGTACCAACTCCAGCTTGTCCGGCCATCGAGTCCCGGGTTTCCAGATGAGAGAAACAGCGCCTCTATCTCCGTGCCTGAGGACGTTTCTGCAGCTGAAAAGACTGTATTTCTGTAGCCCACATCGGTCTTCACCGGGACAGGGAGGTCCACGCTGGGCTCCAGAGACCCGTGGAGGGGTTTAAAAAATTAAATGCGCAGTTCTTGAACTCAGATCATCATCAGAACCAGGTCAGAACCAACCACCAGAAGAGACATGCGGCTCAGCGGGCCAGTTGGTTGCCAAATCAGAACCGGACCAGAACAGTCGCCTGGACCACCAGGAGAAGATGCGCTGCTTTTAAAAATACCAGCTGGGCAGGCTCGCTGGTGCTTGGGTCGGATCCAGCTCACTGAAGCCCGCATGAGCTCCAAAACCGGATCACAGGCGCCTCTCTCCCTCTCTCTAAGCGCTAAACTACATTATGTGAATGGATATTAACGAGTATGAGACCGCTGACAGACGCTCATTAGTATTAATATGATATTAACTGAGCGATACAATTTAAACTGTCTGGTACACGATTGTAATCTGTACTATATTGTGATGCTAGCACACGAGTTTAAGCTAGCATCGTTAACTCACCTGCTGCTCCCCCTCTGGTTGGTTTCTGCCCTCTGGGGCGTGCAGCAAACTCATAACTTTATGGCTTTGGTCAATCAGAAGTAGAATTCTAAACATTTAAAGTTTCCTCTGTGTCAGAGCCGCAGTAGAGTCCATATTTTTCTCTGGATTAAGCTAACAGGACTCCCTCAGCTTGGTTTGGCCAAAAAAAAAAAAAAATCTCACAAAATGACTCTAAAAGCCTAAATAATTTATGTTAGTGTAAAAAAATTTTTTTTTAACGAGTTTCTATTATGTTTCTTTAAACATTGGTTCATGGGAGTCTCTAACCTGCAATTTGCTTTTTAACGTGATAAAGACAACAGCTCAATCCTGCCTAGCTTTAACGAAACTGTTGACTGATGATGATGTCATTGGACACTTTAAGCCTTCTCTTACCAAATGAGAAAATACCACCGCTATTATGCTTGTACAAACAAAAATGAGTTGTTTGTTGTGTAAACAGTTCCTTCCTCACCCCCGTACTCTGGTGCTGCTTATTGTTTTTGTTCGTCAGTAAAGGCTGTGCCTATTATGCTCACGGCGTTTGTCATGCAAGCAGAAACGCTGGCTTCTTTCAGTAGGCGGACATGAAAATGAGTTCCGGCAAACACTCACGTAAACAAACCCACTGGCCGAGCTAAGCTGTCTGTTAGGCCTCACGGCAGACAGATTCAAAACAGATGTGTTTAGAACTGCTCAGTGGCAACTCTGTCAATGTTAACAGCTGAGTTCAGCTGGGATGTTAAATGTGACCCAATGTGAGCTGGCTCTGACATAATGAGCAGTGTTTCATTCATTTAAACCACTTTTTGTAAAGCTCTCAGTATTTTATCCAAAAGACCAGCTAACACTGAGCCTGAGAATGGTGAGTTTACCTGTTTAAGTGTGTAGTGTTGGGCCATGAGGGCCCGAACCATTTCAGGCAGGGCTATGGGGACCCTGGCGAGTCGATCCGAAAATGCCGTCAGAAGCTGCTGGGACTTCTGGAGCCACTCCTGGTTTCCAGTGTAGTGGGACAGACGGAGAAGGTTGGATGCTGACACAGAGTTTGCACTGGGCTCCGCTCCATCCTGATCTGTGACACAAAGATACACACAACAGTCCCAGTCGTAAATACGTTTAACACCCAAACACAAATCCAGTTTACTAAAATGGCACTTTTAAAGGGGCAGTAGAATCTAAAGCCACTTATTCTCTTTCTCTTTAAATAATTACAGCTGGGGGGGGGGTCAACTAAACCAAAAAGTCAGAGCTGTGTCCGACCTGCTTTCTATGAAAATGAGTCACCTTGAAAAGGTGAGAGAGAAACAGTTTGTTCAGAGAAAAGCAATTTTTTTTACATAATAAGCAAGTCAAACCTCCTTACATCTGCATGTTCCAACCCACTTCAGCACAGCAATGCATAGACGCTGGTCACGATAACGCTGACCACAGAACAGCACCAGGCCGAGCTACTGCTAACGTCCTTGTTGCACGACAGGAAAACAACAAAGAAGAATATTGGAGCACTGCTCCCATTCCATTATGCACTGGAAATATCCAGACAATAAATGGATGCTAGATAGATCAGTAGCTTGTGGTCCAGTCCAGTCAAGTCCCCTTCCCAGTTCGTCCCCAAACCCCTGCTCAACAACTCACTGAATTCATTTAGCCAGATACTCTTGTTATCGTTGTCCCGCATGACTGAGGACATGGGTCTGCCTGGCATTGACTTCCTCCTTAAAAAAATAAAAAACTATTGAATCTGTTCTGGACAAAAATGGTGGAACCCTTACATGAATATTTGTTGTTCAGTCTTTTGACGTAATAAAGTGATTTCTGTAACTAAGATTTCTCCCATGCCTGCTGGTCTTCTGGCCTACTCACGGCCTACCGCTTCAGAATAATATAGTGTTTGATTATGTTCTTTACTCGGTGTTGGAGAACCCGTGGCTTGAGATAGAAGCCGTGTTTCCGCTAAAGGAGTTGCATGAAATATCTGGAATGGGGGAAAAATAACCTGGAGATACGATGGCTCGGTCCTTTCAGCTGCTGTGTCTCCATGCAAATGTTGACCTTTCAGGACACAGCATGTTTTGTAGTTTAGAAATTGATTTTAAAGCTGCATGGACACTGGTTTGTTTTGGGTGATGTCTGTCGATCTCTTTTCCTACTGAGTTACAACTAATCAGCATGAGTTATCCAAAGGTTCTGCTCAGCGAGTGGACCGGCTTTTCCAAGTACCTACCCCAACTCAGGTATTCCATTGATTCCTATAAATGGCCCGGAAAATGGTCCTTTAAATCAGCCCACTGAATAGGAGACGTGCAATTTGTGAAGTTCTGGTGAAATGACCCTGAAGTTCCAATAGTGGAAACAAGCCTACGGTGTTTCTCAATGCCAAGGAACCTCACCTTGATGTCTTGGCCCCTCCCCAGTTGCCTAGGAGATACATCATCAGTAGCCACCAGGGCGTGTTCCAATGTTCTACCGAGGCGTATGTTCTCCGTTTGTTAGCCGTTTAGCTAGCTGAGCAAGAATACACAGGAGGTGTCTTGTAGCCTAGCCTTGGTCAAAAATTGCCCAGAATACACCACAGTATGTTCAAAAGGATGGCTGATCAGAAGCCGGCAGCTACTTCAGGGGCAAATTTCAAGTTTAAAATTAAGTCAGCTTATTTAAAATGTTTTTTTAGATCCAAAGAAGTTATCTATGGTTGGTTAGTTGCTTAGTAGTTGCAGCTTCGGTGGCTAGCGGGTAGTAACTCACTTATATTTTTTATTTAACTAATATATACACAATATAAAAAGCAAAAGGTTTGTTATATATTCATATTGAAACTAATACGTATAAAATATAACATTGTTTCCTGTGTCACGTGACATTACCTGACAGCTGTGGAAGCCGCAGTCACGTGATACAAGTCTGTTCCATTTAACCATTTCTTTGACCAAGGAAGGACAGTGTCCTCGTAAGCAAGGCACCTGGCCTCGCAAGACATCGCCTCGCAAGGCCAGGTGCCTTGGCATTGAGAAACACCCCTAGACTAAGCTCTTGGACATTGGGCAGGACTTCTAGCTCCAGAATACTTCAATAGCCTTCACATTGCATTGAGCCCTGAACAATTTCTAAGCGAGACTCAGCAAAGCAGGCCCAGAGCTGCAGAACAATGAACTAAAAAGATTTGTCAAAAAGCTCCAGTTTTGTCATAACTGTAAAAAGAACATTTTCCCAGAAGCTTTGTAGGTTGTCAACATGGACTTTGGTGAAGTCCAGTCGAGCTTTATGTATGATTAAAAAGTGTTGTCCTTCTCAGGTCCAACCCACATTAGCTCAAACAGCGGATGGTTTATTTGACACTGATGAATTTTGTCCTAGAACTTTACATTTTTGTAGGTTTATCTGGACTCTTTTGTTATCATTCATTTTGTTCATATCTTCAGTTTGTCATCAGTTGTCCATGGAGGTTGTCTACAGTCCTATTGATCGTAAACTTCTGAAAAATAGTTCACCTTTATTCACAGGAGTAATAAGCAGCTTAGTTAATGTCTTCTAACCTTTACCTGCTTGGTGATGGTCTTATAGCCTTTATCTCCTTAGACAAGCTCTTCCTAATTTTACCTTCTTGGTGATGGTCCTCTACTCTTTACCTGCTCAGAGACTATCTTGTAGCCTTGACCTGCTTGGGGATGGTCTTCTAGCCTTTACCTTCTTGCAGAAAATCTTCAAATATTTACTGTTTTTCACGCAGATCAGTAACTGTGCTATCTTTTCTTGGGTTACCACCATTTTTGTCCAGGCCAGTTGCATTGTTTATTTTGTTTTTTCTCTAATATTATTTTTCAAAAGCAATGCATGGGTTTTGTTTGTTAATTTCCAGTTAGTTTAATTAATAATACTTTTATCAATGACCACCGTCATTTTAATGCATGCTCATAGTTCCTACTTGTCTGGGTGATTTTATAGGCACACTAGAATAAAATATGACAGAGTTGAGAAAAAGCTATTTGATTTGTTCTTTATGTGAACAACATACATTTGTTAAAGTTTAATTCTCGGTACGTTTTTTTTTCTTACAACACAATAAAACCTAGAACAGTAAATCTCACATTAGAGAGGGTCAAGAGTCTCACTAAAAAAAAACAAAATACAGGTTAGGCTACGGGAGGTCTTTGGTAATAATTTAGGACAGTTTATGTCTTCTTTTGAAAGAAGATGCAGAATGTATCTCCTTTAACGTTAGTTGCGTTTTCCCTCCTCCAGCACACAAACATCTCAGAGTTGAAGTGTGGTGTGATGTTCTGGCCTAGAGGGATGACCTCATCACTTAGCCCTGTTAAGCGATTGGTCCTTATCTTTTATCGGTGTCCTGTGAGAGCCTGGGGTAATCTTCAAATGACCTGTGACCTCTCTACACTTCTGCTTCTCAGCAACGCCTCAATGGTTCCGTTTCTGAGAAGACTTAAAAATCTAACCACCATTCTTGGTCAAAAACTAAAAATAGCAATGATAACCCAACAACACTGTTCCCATAAAGCAACATACGCTGTTCTGCACAGCACACACATTCATAAAAGCACAAACTAACAATCACAAAAGGACATGTGAACATCTGCGTTGGTAGGAATCATTGAAATAATTAGCTTCTACCCAGCAGCATGTTTCAGCTCTGCATGAGCCCTCCTATGGCGAGCACACTTTACCGTACACATACACACACTTAGAAGTGTGTTGCTGCCCACATGTCACGTTCCTCCTCTTAAAGCGCTCAGTGGAAGGAGGTTACATACTCACATCTGTAACGGAGAGACTGCCAACACACACAAGCAGAAAGTACAGCAATTGCACTTTCACTGTTATTTTTTAAAACTCATTTTGATGCATCTTTGTTTTGTACTACAAATATGAGTTCATCTCCAGCTTTGACCCGGTTAAATAAAACATATGTAAGAGACGCAGGGCAGAAACTGTGGGGTTTTAACCTTCCTCCTCTCCTACAAACACACACAGGGGAGTGAGTGTGTCAGGGCTGTGAGATGCAGAGTGGCAGCACGATGGGGTAATCTGTCTCATACTGACAGGCAACACTGCTGGGACAGGCGTCCACGCCGCTGTGGCCAGAGCGTCACTAATGGGCTTCAACCCTTCACGGCACAGCCACCATAGCAGCACCGTCGACCCCTTCCAAGGAAAAGCCTCTCACATGTCAACTCCGACAAACACAAACCGACAAGGGGATGACCAGTTGCACACGTGAACACAAGTTCACATGTATACACGGCCATCATCATTCATCTGTAAGCTGCTATTAGCATGAACAACTCACCTTTCTGTGGTATCACAAGTCTGTCTGAGCTGCTTAGACTGAACTATCATTCTACATTATTTACCGTATTTTCCGGACTATAAGTCGCACAGTATATAGTCGCATGGTTTCATAGTCTGGCTGGTCCTGCGACTTATAATCCGTTGCGACTCATGTACCAAATTATGTAAACCGCACTGCTGCGGACCGGCTCTGGACCAGGAATAAGCTCCTCTGCCCCACCATCACCTGCTGCAGCCTGTGGCGAGCTGCTGCAGGCTGGCTCCAACCCAGGAATGAGCTCCCCTGTCCTGCTGGGAGGGTTTGAAACACCGCCATCCTCTGCTGGAGACTGTGGTGCGCTGCTGCGCCCGCGGTGTTTATTCTGTTATTGTTACCGGTACTTGTCTTGCAATGTGAAATGCTTGGTCTCAGATTTTGTAAGAAAAATAATAAAGTTTCCCCCCAAAATGCGACTTATAGTCCAATACGACTTATATGTGCTTTTTTCTTCTTCATTATACATTTTATGGCTGGTGCGACTTATACTCCGGAGCGACATATACTCTGGAAAATACAGTAGTTGGAAATATTAGCTTATTTGTTTTCTTCAAAGGGTTAAATAATATGGAGGCCTGAACTTTACTAAATATAACACAACTTCACAACATTTCAGTAAGAGAACTTGGGTAAATACAAATTGCAGCTTTAATTGATGATTCATTTATTAAAGGAATGGTTGCAGTAGGAATGAATGCCTTGTAAGTCATTCTCGGGGGTAAAATATACTG